GAAAACCAAAAAAAAAAAAAAAAAAAAAAGAAAAAGAGGTGAGGGCGAGTGGGGGCTGGAGTGGGAGAAGTGGGCAGGGTGGTGTAGACAAGAGCATACCAAAGGACAAAGGATGGGCTGCGAGCGTGGGTGTCACTAGACTTAGCTGCAAGGGGTAGAGACAAGTGGTGCATGTGAGGGGCGGCTGCCACTAGACGCCTCCCAGGGGCATCAGGACTCTTCTGCTCTTCACCCCAACCATGATGGTTACCTGGCTGTTTTGTCTCAGGGCTCTGGTGCTCTTCAGGCAGGGATGCGCTTGGGCTGTCCTTTTATTCCTTTTGAGAATCTTGCACTCCAGCCCAGGCTGACTCTGAACTCAATACAATCTTCCTGTCTTAGCTTTCTGAGTGCTGCAGATTATAGACCCAAGCCACCATACCTAGTCAGTTTTTATTTTGAGACATGGCCTCACCAAGTTGCCTAGAACTCCCCCTGTCTCTCAAGGAGCCCTTGAACTTTCGGTTCTGCTTCAGCCTCCTGAGTGCTTGGCATTGCAGGCCTGGACAATAGACCCGCCCCAGGCTGTTGTCTGAATGTGTTGTCCTCATACTGCTGGTCTGTGGTTTTGCTCCAAGAGGGCAGGGGTGGGTCATTACCAGACTTCATCAGCATGGCCTAACTTGTGACTGCCTCTACGCCTTGCTTATACAATCCCCAGGTGGAGGCTCTGCTCCATTTGGCCCGCCAGAATCGGGCTGTGGCCCGCACTGCCCAGAATGAGAGATCATCACGCAGTCACAGTGTGTTCCAGCTGCAGATTTCTGGAGAGCATGCTGCTCGGGGCCTGCAGTGTGGCGCTCCCCTCAATCTTATAGACCTGGCTGGGAGTGAGCGGCTAGACCCTGGCTTAGCCCTAGGCCCTGGGGAGCGTGACCGTCTTCGGGAAACACAGGCTATCAACAGCAGTCTGTCTACACTGGGACTGGTCATAATGGCTCTGAGCAATAAGGTAGGAGTGGATGCATGGGCAGGTAAGGCAGGGGCTGGCCGCCATGAGCTGTGGAGATCCTGTCCTGGCCTAACTGCCTGTGCCCTTCCCCTTCAGGAGTCTCACGTACCTTATCGAAACAGCAAGCTTACCTACCTGCTGCAGAACTCGCTGGGTGGCAGTGCCAAGATGTGAGTAGAAGGGACAGACTGAAGGGGCTGTGTGTGCTCAGCCTGGCAGACCTCTGCTGCTGGCGTGCAGACCACTGACGCTGGCGTGGGCCTTCTCTTTCCACAGGCTCATGTTTGTGAACATTTCCCCTTTGGAAGAGAATGTCTCCGAGTCTCTCAATTCACTGCGCTTTGCCTCCAAGGTACTATTGCTACCCTGCTGTCTTAGTTTTTTGGGGGCTTACAGTTTTAGAGGGTTCAAATTCATGGTCTTTATGGCAATGGCACAGCAGAAGGCAGGTTGCAGTACGTGCAGCAGGTGAATGGGGTTGGAGACAGAGAACAGAGACTGGGACTGGAATCTCAGACTCCCACCCCTACTATACTCCTAATCCTCCCCAAACAGGTCCACCAACTGGGACCAAGGATTCAAATGTATGAGCCTATGGGGGCCTTCTCGTTTAAAGCACCACACCTGCCCATATGTCAGCTGGCTGTTTAGAGGCATCTCCATCATGACTCCTGTTTTCTAGGCTGGGGCACATCTATCCAAACAGAATTAAAACTTGATAGGCATCTTGGGTACTGCACACTGATTCCATTTTTAACTGCTGCCTTCTGAATTAATATTTTTAGAAGAAATGACCACACAGCCTATGTAGATGTGTCTGTGCTCTGACTCCTTCCCTGTGTAGATGTGTCTGTCCGTGCTCTGACTCCTTCCCTGTGTAGATGTGTCTGTCCGTGCTCTGACTCCTTC